TATGAACAAGGAAATGGGCCCTCACCACACACCCAATCTGTTGATATCTTGATCTTGGACTTACCAGCTTCCAGAACTGTAAGCAATAAATTTCTGTTGTTTAAGCCACCCAGTCTGAGATATAGAACTTTATTATAGAAGCTGTGGCAAAGTAATGCAGTCTGAATATACAAAGACACCTGCTTTGTTTTCTTTATAGCACTCAAATCTGAAATTATGAAATTTATATTAACTTATCACCTGTCTCCTCATACTAGAATATGAGTTCAATAAGATAAGCCCTCATCTTTCTAATTGATCGCTATATCTCCTATACCCAGAAAATTCTTTTTTTTTTTTGTACCGGGGATCAAACTCAGGACTTTGAGCTTTCGAGGCAGACGGCGGCACCACTGAGCTAAATCCCTGGCCCCAGAAAATTCTTAACAATTTATAGCTGTTCAATATGTATCTACAGCTAATGGAACAATTGCTCTGAGTAATGCAAGCAAGAGAATTTTCAGAGGCATGGGAAACCCAGGGAGGCAACTCTGGTGAATATTGGAGGAAGACTCGGCCTGATTTTTCCTTTCTTCAGGAGTAGCAAATCTGAGAGGTTTTGAAAATTACAAATCTTGTGTAAAGGCAAGCAGCGGGCACAAAGGACTGGCCCAACATCAGATGAGAGAGGCTTGTCTACACCACACAAAACAGACACACATGCGCTCATGTAGATAATATTGTATTAGTCCTGCGTGAAAGAGAACGCTGGATTTAGGGCACGGATTGAAGGTTTAAATATTTAAACATTCTTTTTCATAGCAAGCCAAAAATCTCATGAGGATAAATGTACAAATAGATTCCTTAGGAGCATCTAAAATAATATATATCACATTATTCTGCAATATACATTACAGGTCACATGAGGAAACTAAAAGTCACTGCAGCTCTGCCCAAATACAAGGAATCATTTACAGCTAGTCAAAATGATTAGGATTGGCAATCTTGAATGAATGATTGCCTTGGTTCAGCTGGGGGTTTTTTGTTGGGTTTTTGGGGGTTTTTTTGCCATTTTTAATGAGTACATTTTAATAGCCATTATTGTTTTATTCATGTTGGGTTTATCATTATTGCAGTTAACCTCACATTTACTTTGGCTAGTACCCTTTTTTGAAAGTCTTTGACTTTTCAGTTGGTTTTGATCTGTCTTTTTGGTTGCACTCCATTAATAACAAATTTGAATAGTGCTTTTCAGCTTACGAAGAATTCATACTATCACTTGTAACCTTGAATATCTCTCAATGATTGATAGAGATTGTCATTTCTATTTTGTAGTGAGGAAACTGAGGCTCAGTGAAGATAAAGGACTTGCCAAGGTCACAGGCATGAAGAATAGTGGAGCTAAAGTCCAATACACATCTTTTCACTCCTATACCATGCTTTCCATATGAAATGACACTCATTACAAAGCCAACCTGGCTAGCAAAGATGCAGTGTCAACACATTAGACATGCTTATGTTTATGTGTACACAAACACACACACACAAACACACACACCAACACACACACACACTAGCTATCAAAGAAACAAAAATCAAGAACTCACAATATTATGTTCTGCATCCCCAGCAAAAGCAGAGTGGAAAGAAAACCCATTACCACCATTTCTTCCCAGCAGGAATTCCAAGGCTCCTTGTTCCCCGCCAGGTGTTTGTATAATGTTACACAAATCTGATGTTCTTTTGAGTGATTTGAGAGAACCACCACACCACTCTGACCACCAAAACTATCCTCAGGGACAGCAGGGAAATTAGTCGGGATAAGTCAAGCGGTAAATTCTAACCAGGGCCCCCACATAAATATTCAAGTTAAAGCTGAACAAAGTTTATTTAAATAAAGAGCCATAAAAATGGCAGATGGCAGACCTTAGGAGGTGGTTTTGGGGGAGAAAGTGGCCAAGCCTCTGAAAGGAAATAATGGTAGGAAATCAGGATCCCGCTAGGTCTTTGGTATTCAACTGGTCTTCCAGGCATTTCACCTTTTTCCAGCATTTCACTAGATTGTCCTGGTTTAAAGATTATTAAGTATAATCCAATACATCCACTACACTGAAGGAAAGGTGAAGCGCCAAGCACACTAAGTTATCACTAAAGACATCACAGTTTATTGTTCGATAATTGAATTCTTTCAGCCCCAAAGGAATTACAGTGCAAGTCCTAGTTTAATATTTTTGTATCAGGATTAACACTTTAAAGCCTTCAGTGACTACCTTAGAGACACTGACTGTTAGAGAAGGACAGGATTTAAAAGAAGAACAATTAAGTCCTATTGAAGGAATTTGTTTAGATACACAAAACATGACAAGAAATAAGTCTAAGTACTGATCTTTGAGTGAAAATAAGACAAGAAAGATATATGATATCATTGCTTCTCAGCCTATGGACTAAGACCAAGTGTAGATGTATGGTATGGGGTAATTTGTGTTTTAAAGGTGCATATTATATTGCATACTCTGGGAAAATATGGGGAAACAATAAAAAAACTTGATGCTTCAAAGAGAAGGAATTTTAAATATAAGAGAGAAATTTAGATTCTTCTGAATATTCTTTGCTAACCATTAATACTGTGCACATTTATCGCCTCTACTAAAACAGAATAAACTCCTTGAGGGTGCACTCATTGATGATATATTCATCTTTGTACTTTGTGGGTGGGTCTAGTGCTTTTTCTGTTAAATATTCAAAAAAAATTGAGTATTTATGGCAGATTTTTTTTCACCTAAAATAAATTTGACTACTAATAAGCATAAGTCAATATTAATTTTGTGGCTTTTTACAAATGGCTTATAACAATCATTCTTAGAGAGAGAATATTGTAACGGCTTTCTATCTCCTGCCACTCTGCCACTATATATATTATTCAGAGTACTCTTGAAATAAATAGCTCTTGAGACTGTTCTGATTTATGAAATAGAGAAAGTTTTATAAATTATTTTGTTGACAAATGTTCTTTCATTTCTTCCCTGAAGGAGAAAAAAATGATTACTTAGTATATTCAGAAAAATTGGAAAGCCGTGAATTTTGTGGTAGAGATTCATATTAAATATTTGCTTAGATGTTTTTTATTAACCAATCCTTCTGTAGCCTGTTCACACTCTTGGCATTAATCTTCAATAGGATATCACAAATTCAATGCATATTTTCTAAGAAGTGGAAAACGATGATCCAGAATTAAAGCAGAAGTAAAGAAAACAAATTCCCATGAAAATGGAAATTAAATTACTTATGAACAGAAGTGTTTTCTAGAAGATACTTTAAAGATTATGAGAAACTTGCCTCCTCTCTATCTTGGTTACTCTTCATACCACCCCCACCCCACATTTAGGATGCACTTCACTATGATTCCGATTTTCATTAAATGCCTTAATGAGGTGTGACAGTATAGTAGATGCAGGACCAGTGTGGGTGACATGAGTGGAAGTTGAGCAGGGGGTAGAGAACTGGAGACTTCAGTGCAGGCCACAAGTGCCCTCTAGTGTGCATTTGCTTGCTCTGCATTTCCCGGAGCTGTTTGGTCTCCCAGAGATGGTGAACCTTTTCCAGCTTTCAAAGACACAAATAGCCTACTGCTGCAACACATGCCAGAGGTTAGCCACCACTGCTTTCAGAGATCTCAAGCTGGTTTTTATAAACAGATAAACCTCATACATATTTATTCATTGAACTGCTAATCTGCAAATCCTGGTATTAAAGGGCTTAGAAACAGTTTATTTTTCTGAATCTCCCTCTACTTTATGCAACACATTTGTATTGTAAATTCCTTTCTTTTGTTTAGAAAAAAAGTCCAAATACAAACTTAATGCATTCACAATCCAATTAGCCAAATTCTAAACATGTGACTCCATAGTAGGTAAAGAGAATAAAGAAATGTGCATAATTGTGATAGTAAATTTTAAAATGACATTTTGGGACTATTACATGGAGTACCTTTTCTCCAACTCAAAGGACTTCTGCAGTTTTTAGTGTTGTTTGTTTTACATTTACATGTAACTTTGTATTTATGACTACATCAAAGCATCCAAAACACATTGGGCAGATGAAAAACCTCTGCCCCTGGAATAAAGCCTACAGGTATTTGACTATATCTATTTCGAATAGAATTTTGATACTAATTAACAAAGACTTTATGGCACTGTGTGTTGGGATTAGGTTTTGTGCAAATGTGGGACACCCAAAATAAAAGTGGACTAAAGAAGACAAGACTGTTGAGTGTGGTGGTGCATGCCTGTAACCCCATAGCTTGGGAGGCTGAAGCAGGAGGATTGCCGAGAGTTTGAGGCCAGCCTGGGCTACACAGGGGGCTTAAGGCCAGCCTGAATTGCATAGGGATACCCTGTCTCAAAAAACGAACAAAAACAAAACTTTATTTCTCTCTTAAGTAAACAAACTGCAAATTTAAGGATTAGTGTAGACTACAGCCTCCATATTCATCCAGGGCTGAGGTTTCTTCTAGCTTGCTGCTCTACTATCGTCAACACATAGCTTTCACCTCATGGTCCAAAGCCCATTTCCTGGCACCATAACAGTATTCCAAGTAACAAAATGGATGAAGGAAAAAACATTCTCTTTCCCTATTAGGATCCTTCTTGGAAGTTACATCCAGTTCACCAGGACTTTGCTACATGGCCACACCTAACTAAAATGTCTCTGCTTTGGCCTGCCCTATTCCCAGAAGAAAATTAGGAGTTCCAATATTATGGAAGAGTGGCAAAATTGATACTTGGAAACAACTAGCAGTTTCTGCTATAGCCTATTTGCCCACCAATTACCTCCATTTGACAGATAGCTCTTTTGGTTTTTTGTGTTTTTTTTCTATTAAAGAGTGGCTCTTTATTTCATTTACTTTTCACCCATAAAGTTCTAATGATAAAGACATTTCCCCTACTTTTCCAGTCTCCAAGGAAACACCAGTACCTTGGCCTACAGGATCTCACCGTGTTGGTGTATTCTTTCCTCCACAGGTGATGGCTGTACTACCTGGTCCTCTGCAGCTGCTTGGAGTGCTGGTCACCATTTCCCTGAGCTCCATCAGGTTCATTCAGGCTGGTGCCTACTATGGGATCAAGCCGCTGCCACCTCAGATTCCTCCTCAGATGCCACCACAAATTCCCCAATACCAGCCCCTGGGCCAGCAAGTACCTCATATGCCTCTGGGCAAAGATGGCCTTACCATGGGCAAAGAGCTGCCTCACTTGCAGTATGGCAAAGAGTATCCACACTTACCCCAATATATGAAGGAGATTCAACCAGTGCCAAGGATGGGCAAGGAAACAGTACCCAAGAAAGGCAAAGGTAATATCATACATGCACATTGTTATAAAACAGTTTTCCAACCTCCTGAATTATGGAGGTGGATGGAAAACCTCATTTTAAAAACTTTCATTTTAGACTTTGTTATTGATGCTTATCAAATGCTTACTGGACTCTAAACTTTAGTTTTGAAAAGTTCCAATCTTTTTTGGTTCCAGGGATCAAACTTGGGAACTTATGTTTGAGAGGCAGGTGGCAGAACCACTGAGCTAAATCCCTGGCCCAAAAAGTTCCAATCTTAAGGAAAAGTACATGTTTCCATCACTATCACTAGAACGAAAAAAGAAAAGAAAGAGAAGGAGAAAGATATTCCAATTTTATATTTTAAATAGCATCAATTGAAACAAAATGCTTAATCACAAGTGGTTTATTGCCTCATTTTTTTATTCAAAATTCAGCAGATATCTAGTGAATGCCTACTTTTGTGTCAGGCTCTGGGTCATTTGCTGAGGAATTAAAGTACTGAAAAGGGAAAAAAAAGAAAAATGAAGTGACAAATCAGTCTTTAGAACTTAGGAAAACAATAATGTAAAGGCCTGCTGTGTTCAAAGAAAAAGTTATGAAAGCATTTTGCAAACTAGGTGCTAGGTAAATTCAAGTGCTTTTAAATATTGCTCTTATCAAGCCATACATGTCAATCAATAATGGACAAAAAAAAAGCACAGACTGCATCTAGATAGGATACCTGATAATCACGCTTATTACTTTTTAGGCCTAATTATTATTTAATGCCCACAAAATCCCTATCATTGTGACAGGTATTTTTTTTTTAATTCAGTAGATCTATCTGTTATTCAGAGCAGCAATCACCTTTGAGGAAGTGGAGATCATCTCAAACCCCCACAGTAGCAGGAAGTTCCATCTCTAAAGAACAACTGGATTTATGTTTAGAATAAGAATGTTGAGAGAATCAATGACAATAAGGTTAATAGTGCTGAGCAAACACTAAAGGACCATAGGAACTTTGAGTTGGTACAACTGCCATTCAACTAATTCTTGGTCAGAACAAAATGTTTCAAGTATTGTGTTAGACATCAGAATTCCTGAGGAATAAGATGTGATACCTCCCCAGATACTGCCTTGATATAGTAACTAAACAATTCACTGCTTACAAGTAACATACCTTAATCATACTACATAATGTTTGTTAGCATAAGAGACATATTCCCAATTTTACTCTCTTTAGGAGCTAGTGTGCCACTTAGGAGATTATCTCAGCAGTTTTTCCCTTCCTTTCTTGAAGGGGTTGCCTGGCTTTTGGTACCTCCTATGCCTCTTTGAATGGGTACTATTTGAAAATATATATGAGTGTTACAATTCTGTTTTGTTCCCTGATTGGAGCTTGGCAAAGAGTACAGTTGTCAGGATTAAGATACTACTATGGGTTAACATAAAACTTTTGGACCACATATTTCATTTCTTCCTGTGACCTATTATTCCCAGTAGAATGGAGAGATCCAGAGTTGTGTTTATCTGCAAGGCACAGCATAATATAACATGTGCTTTGTATTTCAGTAACAATTCGAAAAAGAGGTACATATAACACCTTTTATATGTATTTTCTAATCTGGTAGTGTGTCTTTATTATTTTTGCTAAACGAACAGGCAAGCAGAGATGCTGATAGCTTAAGTGACCCAGTTGAAAACTCATGCCAAGACCAGAAAGATAAATAGAGCTTCCTCCTCCCAAATTAAGTTCTCTTCCTTATCCATACTGCTTGTCATCTTAAAATGCTTTACTCACCTTTCTTGTTTAAAAGCCAGATTTGCAAATACAAAGTAAAATCCTTCCTTTCTTTCCTGAGTCCTCATGATAATGATTTTCATAACCCACATCATACTGTATTTCAGCACATGGGAAAATGTTATTTAGTCCTAAATTATTACATTAAAAAATCAGCTTGGCACATAAAGACAAATATCACATGTTGTCACTTTATATGTGGAATCTAAACAATCAAATTCACAGAATGAGAGAGTAGAATAGCAGTTACCAGAGACTGAGAAGGGTGAGATGATAGTCAAAGGGTATAAAGCTTCAGTTACACTGGAGAAATAACCTTTTTGGTTTGGGGATTTTCTTTTAAATGTATTGCACAATGTAGTGGATATAGTTAATAATAGTGTATCATACATTTCAAAGCAGCTGAGAGCAAGTTTCAAATTTTGTCACCACAAAAATAAGTATTTAAGATAATGAGCATGTTAATTATCTTGATTTTATTATTCCATATTGTATTCATAAATTATAATGACAACTTATAATCCATAAATATATATAACCATATTTATTTATAATAAAAATTTTAAATAAAAACCAAAAAGATAAGGTCATGAAAAATCTAACTTTAAGTAAAAAAAAATAAAAGCAGAGAATGACTCTAACATTGTTTAAAATACACACATGCACATGTGCATGCACACACACACACAACTAAAGATGAGATGAAAATACACGTTGTGTGATCCAAAAATATGGTGACTATTTTAAAAATGTATTACAGTAAAAGCCACATTACCATTAATCCCCCTCAAAAATCAAATATTTCTTTCTTTAAACACACTTATCACCTTTTTTTGCCACTTTCTGAAGCAATTCTGGAAGTTCTCTCTCATGAATGTCTTTAGCTGCACAGTCAGGGCTGCTTCAATGTCCTGAATTGATTCAAAATATTTCTATTTCATGGTTATTTTGACTTGGGGAAGATCCAAAAGTTGCACATCAGATCCAGTGAATAAGGTAGATGAGAACACATCACAATGTTTTTACAAGGCTGCTTTCCTTTAGAAGGCAGTCAGCCAGGGCATTTACTGTATTTTTATCATACCTCATAAAGATGCTCTTGAAAGAGGACTTCCAGAACCGCTTTAGAAAGTCACAAGAATAACAGGAGAAGTATATTCAAAGCAAAGGGGAGTATTCTGAGGAGGATTAATGGTAATGTGTCTTATTATAATAAATTTTTTAATGTAAACACTCATCATATATTTTGATTCAACCCTTGTATGTCAAGTACTTATCTCTGAGTAGTGGGCTTATAGCAACTTAAAATGTTTCTTACACATTTTTGAACTTTCAAATTTTCTATCAAGAGTATATCGTACAGCCAGAGATGTAGCTCAATGGTGCCACACCTGCCTGGCAAGCACAAGGTCCTAAGTTCGATCTCCAGTACTAGAAAAAAAAAAAAAAAAGAACATATAACATTTTCAAGTTCTGTTTCTTATGTTTTAGCTTTTTAACTTAACCAATGCTAATATAAGCAGCTGTATATACTATTTCTTAAAATAATACCTTAAGTACATCAAATAAATTACCAGATTGATTTTCCTTTAAATATTTATATCATATAGTCCTAGAAGATGAATATATAATTTCTAGTCTTTTCTTTCATAAGTAAAAGGCACATGTGTCAGAATTAATGATTTCATTACTTAATTGAAATGATGGATATTCAAAATCAATCTCTCTCTCTCTCTCTCTCTCTCTCTCTCTCTCAGTAGAAATACCGTTAGCCAGTTTACGAGGAGAACAAGGTCCCCGTGGAGAACCTGGCCCAAGAGGACCTCCTGGACCTCCTGGTTTGCCAGGTCATGGGATTCCTGGAATCAAAGGAAAACCAGGGCCACAAGGCTATCCAGGAGTTGGAAAGCCAGGTATGCCTGGAATGCCAGGGAAGCCAGGAGCCATGGGAATGCCTGGGGCAAAAGGTGAAATTGGACCCAAAGGGGAAATTGGGCCTATGGGGATTCCAGGCCCACAAGGACCTCCAGGGCCTCATGGACTTCCTGGCATTGGGAAGCCAGGTGGACCGGGATTACCAGGACAGCCTGGACCAAAGGGTGATCGAGGACCCAAAGGACCACCAGGACCTCCAGGCCTCCAGGGTCCTAAAGGAGAGAAGGGCTTTGGGATGCCAGGTTTGCCAGGTCTGAAGGGCCCTCCAGGAATGCATGGCCCTCCTGGCCCGGTTGGACTCCCAGGAGTGGGAAAACCAGGAGTCACAGGCTTCCCTGGGCCCCAGGGCCCCCTGGGGAAGCCAGGGCCGCCAGGGGAACCTGGCCCACAAGGACCTATCGGGGTAACAGGTGCTCAAGGACCCCCTGGGATGCCTGGACTTGGAAAACCAGGCCAGGATGGGATCCCTGGCCAGCCAGGATTTCCAGGTGGCAAAGGGGAGCAAGGACTACCAGGGGTGCCAGGACCCCCAGGCCTTCCAGGAGTTGGGAAACCAGGTTTCCCAGGGCCCAAAGGTGATAGGGGTGTTGGGGGTATTCCTGGGGCACTTGGACCCAGAGGGGAGAAAGGGCTAGTAGGTGCCCCTGGAATGGGGGGTCCCCCAGGAGAGCCAGGCTTACCTGGAATCCCTGGTCCTATGGGCCCTCCTGGTGCTATTGGTTTCCCTGGACCCAAAGGAGAGGGTGGAGTTGTAGGGCCCCAAGGTCCACCAGGTCCCAAGGGTGAGCCAGGGCTTCAGGGCTTTCCAGGAAAGCCAGGTTTCCTTGGAGAAGTAGGGGCCCCTGGTATGAGAGGTTTGCCAGGTCCCATAGGGCCTAAGGGGGAAATTGGCCACAAAGGATTGCCAGGGCTTCCTGGTGTGCCAGGGCTACTTGGACCCAAGGGAGAACCAGGCATCCCAGGGGATCAGGGTCTCCAGGGACCTCCAGGTATCCCAGGAATTGTAGGCCCTAGCGGCCCCATTGGGCCACCTGGAATTCCAGGTCCCAAAGGGGAACCAGGCCTCCCAGGGCCCCCTGGGTTCCCTGGTGTAGGGAAACCTGGAGTCGCAGGACTTCATGGGCCCCCAGGGAAGCCTGGTGCCCTTGGTCCTCAAGGCCAACCTGGACTTCCAGGGCCCCCAGGACCTCCAGGACCACCTGGTCCTCCGGCTGTGATGCCCCCAACACCCCCCCCGCAGGGAGAGTATCTGCCAGATATGGGGCTAGGAATTGATGGTGTGAAACCCCCCCATGCCTATGGGGCTAAAAAAGGCAAGAATGGAGGGCCAGCCTACGAGATGCCTGCATTTACCGCGGAGCTGACTGCACCCTTCCCGCCAGTGGGGTTGCCAGTGAAGTTTGACAAGCTGCTATATAATGGCAGACAGAACTACAATCCACAGACCGGCATCTTCACCTGTGAGGTCCCTGGCGTCTACTACTTTGCTTACCATGTTCACTGCAAGGGCGGCAACGTGTGGGTTGCTCTCTTCAAGAACAACGAGCCCATGATGTACACATACGATGAGTACAAAAAGGGCTTTCTGGACCAGGCATCTGGGAGTGCCGTGCTGCTGCTCAGGCCTGGAGACAGGGTGTTCCTCCAGATGCCCTCAGAACAGGCTGCTGGACTGTATGCAGGGCAGTATGTCCATTCCTCCTTTTCAGGATATTTATTGTATCCCATGTAAAAAATGAAAAGAAAGAGATTTAATAGAAGAAAAGAAAATGAGACATCAAAAATACAAATGAAAAACACAATCACTTCAAAACATTTATATAGTTGGAAAGTTATATTTAAGTGAAAGTTTGGACCATCTTGTACAAATAAAAACTAAGATTCATGTTTAATACTCTGCACAGTAGCTTGTAATGGAAAATGATGGGATAGATTTATATACCAAGTATTGACACTTATGTTGTACCCACTGGAATCATGTAGGTGTTGTACATTATATGGTTCCATGATAATCTGCTTTATTCAGATCAGTCAAAATATGACAGAATGAAAGATCCTAGCTAATGAAAGTCATCCACTCATATTGTTTCTTTTAAAGTATTTATAAATATGCCTTAAAGAAATATCAACAGTTACATACTGTTTTTATTTGCATAATTTTCTCTCCATCTGTGCAGATGCTTTGCCATGGAATGTATGTGTGGCAAAGGGCAAGGGGTCTGTAGTGTTACTGTCTCAGTAGGAGGGAGGGGGCAGTGGAAATAATGGTAGTTTTTAATCCAAGGGATATTTCTCTCCTGTTAGAGGCTGTCTTTTAGCAGTTCTGGCTTTCGTCAGAACTGTGTGTCAAGGCACTCTCTGAAAGAACACATGAACCAGTCAACCATCATATATGTACTCAGCATCTCCTCTGTACAGAACACAGAGATGCTAGAGTGGGACCTAAGTCCACAAGGAGCTTACAAACCAGCTAAAGACATGAGTAATGATTAACTCATTCATTTATCGAGGGGGTTTTTTTTCCTGTGACTTCTTTTTCTTTTTCTCCTTCTATGTAATCTCTTTTCAATATGGCCCTACCCATATAAATACCCTGAATTTATATGGAAAACAAAGTAACCCTTCCTCTACAGTATAACTTGCCAGTTTTGTGGACTATTTATTATTAACAGCAGATACTGTGTTTACATGCATTAAAATTTCCCCTCCTTTGTCTCCACACATAAACAACCACAATGAAGTATTAATCATGGAGATATCAATATTTTTTAGTAGCTGTGAATTGAAGAAATGTCCCTATTTAGTAGGGTTGCAAACTGAATGTCATCTGACCTTCTAAAGTCAATTCCCAAAATCCAAACCATTTTTTAATTTGGGAGAAACATCAGAATTCATAGGAAAATAAATTTGTATTTAAAAATTAATTGTATTTAAAAATTAATTATGAAGTTTGACATTTAAAAATAAGTGTGATGTTTCCAGGTGATGGTACTAAAATTGTTGTTTGTTTAGCAGCAAACTGTGGAAAAGACAGCTGAAGTGTCATAAGGTGACAATAGTCCATGTCAATTATGTCACCCCATACTCAGCACAAATCAACAACTAAAACAGGTTTGACAGAGAGAAATAAATGTTCCAGATTTTTCACTCAGGCACATACTAAGTAGCATTGCTCAAAACATAGACAAACCTTTTCAAGTCCACTGTTACCCACTATGAACACTATAAGCCTCTTGAGGAAATAATATGGGATTGTGGTAGTAAAATTTTATATATTTTTATTAAAAACTAAGAGTAAGGAGCAGAAGGGATAGATATAGAGGTAAAATTACACAAATAAATACTAAATACTATATAGGAAAACATGAAATTTGCCTATGTCAAATCTGAATCAGTGGTAGAGCTCTTGCTTAGCATGCACAAGACCCTGGGTTAAACCACAGCACCACACACACACACACACACACACACACACACAAAGGCATCATTTTTACTACAACAAAAACTCTTAGTCTAATAATTGTCTTTTTCCTGTACAGTATACAAGCACCATTTCTTCTCAATTCTTTTTTTTTTTTTTATTGGGAATCAAATTCAGGACTTTGCGCTTGCCAGGCAGGCATGGCACCACTGAGCTAAATCCCCAGCCCACCATTTCTTCTCAATTCTTAAGAAAAGTGAATTCATTACTACAAGCTTTCCTATTTACTGCTGATTATGTAACAGTTTTCTCATTAAAATGATACCCTACCCAACCTTCATTTTCAAAGTAGGCAGCATTTATGTGGCCAGATATCCTTTGGGTTGGTCTTGAGGTTGTTGGTTTTGGTCTGGTGACTACAGAAGTAACATGGATCTCTCCTTCTGATAAACAGCATTGAAATGACTTAGAAGCATGTCAGACCAATTGATTTATAAAACTATTTATCTGCACATGTATGGACTATTTATTTCCAACAAGCAAGAGAGAAATTACCTCTTTAGTTAAAACTAAGTTTCACTTCTCAAAATATCTCCAACTTATTTATTGGTTGCTACTCAATTGCCTATATATATATATATATATATGTATGTATATTATCAGGCATATGCTTCTAACTTTTAGATGGAGGAGGAGCAAAATCTATTCCAGATACTGTGTATTCTACAATGGTGCTAATCTCAAAGCTAAATGATACTCCATTTAATTTTAAAAAGTTTTAACTAATTATCTATGTGCCCATGTTTCCCTTTTGAGAAATGCACATCATTAGTATAAAAGCATCTGAAACAACCACATGTTCTAAAGTCTAGGGATGGTAGTGTAATCCATATTTGAACAAAATAAACTAGAACTTTTCCATGTGAAATGGATCAAATTATCATTATTGTTATTTAAAGAGTTATAATGCAATATGACATCCTACAGGGGAAAAGAATGTCTGTAATGGGTGTCCTCAAATATTTTAGACTATAATGAATGGTGAACAAATTGGTAACTTGTTTGAGTTTCCATGATAGATTTGAGATTTAATGACAAATCATTTTTGTATTTAAATTTTTGTACTGATTTGAGAAAGTCATTAAATACTTTAAAACTATGTTTCTTGTCATCTCAGCTGACACTGTGTGAACCTCATGAGTTTTTTTTTTAATCTTTCATTGTAGTAATTAGCAGGTGAACTAGAGACCTAAAATAAACATAGCTTTAACAGGACAATTTATTCTTCTTTGACATAACAACTCTGAGCATAAGCAGTCTAGAGCTGCATGTTCCTTCTATCTTCTTATTCTTCCACCACAAGTAGGTTGCCCTCTTCTCCATGGTCAAGGATAGTTAGCCATTAAAGTTACATGCCAGTCAGTGGGAGGGCAGTGAAAGCAGGAGGGGAGGGTATGTTTGTTGTCTTAAAAATCTCAACCCACCAACTTGTTAGATCATTCCCTCCCCCATCCATTGCCTGGAATTTTGTCACATTACTGTAGCAAGCTGTATGGTAGTATGGGAAACTGAATTTTTACCTAGGTAACTCCATGCCCAGCTGAAAATCAGGGGTTCTATTAAAAAGGAAGAAAGTAGCTAATTAGAGCATAATTAGCTATTTCATCTGTTACATCCATTAACAAAGAAAAAATGCTACATACCTCTTTTCTCTCACAAGAAACTATCTTCAAATACTCCATTCTATTTTACCTTGCCAACCAGAGCCAAATATTCTGAGTGAGAATAGTAGTGAGTGGAGTAACAGGGCAGAAGCAGATCTATTTCAAGAACCTAAAGGTCTTAATAAGCATCACTGATGAGAAAAGAGTTCTTTTGTTATGACTTATTAAGTCCTGAATGATTATAACATGTCTAGAATATGATAAGGGATTACTCAAATAATTCAATGAGCAAATATGTACACCAGTCTGTGGGTGGTTGGTGCATTGTTTAAATCATCAGGCTGGAAGCTCAAGACCACAGGGTCCATTCCCAAATACTCCAATTAGTTCTGCATTGTTCCCCAGCCAAAGACATTAGGGTCACAGTCATCTTGTTGGCATATTGTTTTGTTCATAAAGGTTAACATAAGGATAGATACAGGAGTTGGAGACAAGGCAGCATAAATGGATAGAAATGAGAATGCTGGACAAACAGGGCCAAACCATCATCACTATTATTGCATAAAGAAACTCAAAATATGTATCTTAACTTACAATGGATATATAGTATCCTTTTATACTAAAACACAAATTATATCCTATTTTGTGCCTGATACTACTAAGCAATGTAAGGCGTGCAGAAGTAACAGAAAACATAATCCCTTCCTTAAAAATAGTACGTTCTGCTTGGAAGATCTCAAGATGTTTGTTAAACAAGAAGTTGATTTCCAAGAGCAGGTTGGGATGATCATGAATAGATGAGTTACGAACTAGAAAAATTCAGAAAGAGAAAGACCAATCCATGCTGCCCCTTCCTGGGAATATCTTCTTTGACTTCCCTGCTGGGTGAACTACTCACCACTCAGTACACAGAGGATGAGTTACATTTCCTTTATATCATCTCGATAGCTTAAACTTAACTTCTCCCCAACATCAGCACCATGCAGTGTAAATTTTTCTGTCCCTTTAGTTTTTCTGCTTTGTAATTAGAATGCTACTCTGTGCCCCCAATTAGAGTACAAGTTTCATGAGGGAAAGCCCCTTGTTCTTTCATCTTTGCATTTATATCTCATCTTAGAGTACTACAGAGTACTGGTCCAACTACAGGTTTGAAGGAAGACTGGACCTCTCAAGGATGCTATGAGAGGGAGTCCTCAATTGGATGGGAGGTTAGACTGAATGGCAGGAAACTCATTTCCAATTCTGACAGACCAAGACTATAAAAAAGCTCTCTGTGGGACTAAATTACTTTTAGAACATTTTGTGGAGGTAATTTTTTAAAAGAAATGTAGAATCTGGATGGAGGGAACATGAAGAGGAATAGCCTCTCCTCTTCTAGTGGAAAAGAGGAAATTGTGGTGTGTGTGTGTGTGTGTGTGTGTGTGTGTGTGTGTGTGTGTGTGTTTTAGGTGAGGTTAGAGAAGAGACAGAAGCTGAGATCAGGGAAATGGCCTGAGTAAATCAGAGCATCTACTCAATGACTAGAGAAGGACACTGATTTAATAACTAAAGGAGGGTCAAGTGCTACAGTGTTTTACACACAGGGAAAGACACTTCTATCTTATCTAACATGAAAAAAAAGAAGACATTGTAGGTCTTTAAGTGGGAAAGTAGTATAAAAATAAATATTTTAGAAAAATTATTTTGATAAGTCTATGACAATGACATGGAGAAGGAAAGATACAAGTGGTGAAACTAAGTAGGAGACCAGAACAGCTTTCATCCCAGAAATGAAGGGATGGGTGATATGATGGACCATAAACAAGCCTCCCACAGGAAGAGTCAGAATGGTGTAGGCATCCAGTTTAAGGACTATGTGGGCATGAAAGTATTTCAGGGACTAGGAACTGGAATGAAGAAGAATGGAAAAACTGAACTGAACCTGCAATATGAAACACCTTTACAAGAGAGGAGAAAAGTTTAACTTCAAAGTAGTTTCCTCTCACTGATAAACTTGGAAGGCAGGGACAGTGTTGTCAATAAAATTGGGTAGTCCACTGGTGGGGCCCACTCAAGATCAAGGACAGGAAAAGGGAAAAGGTAAAGAACCATTTTATTTATAGACTTGTTGAATTTGACCTGATGGTGTTTACTGGGGCTATCATGCAAAGTACCACAGCCTGGATGGCCTTAAAAACAGAAACTCATTTTCTCAGCCATGGATGTTAGAAGTCTAGAGGCAGGAGCAAAGTATCAGTAGGACTGGTTACTTCCCAAGGCTCTATTCTTGGCTTGTAGATGGCCATCATTTCCCTGGTCCACAATCTTCCCTCTGTCAGCCAGGGTCTCAATCACCTCTTCTTACAAAGACACTAGTCATATTGAATTAAGGTTCACGCTTGAGGACTCATTTTAACTTAATTACTTTTTTATGCCCTGTTTCCAAATACAGTCACATTTTGAAGTTCTGGGGATTGGGACTTTAATATATACATCTTGGAGACAAAATTCAGCCCTCAACAGTGGGAGATCCCTGTGCTTCAGATATGCATTTGTTAGGAAGATGAAGGGTGGTAGAACAAGAGGAAGAAAAAATACTGACTTGAAATTGGTAACTCTATTTGCAGATAAAAATAATAAATTGCTTTATAATTTTCTCCTTTGCTTACTCCAGAGAGTTTAACAAATTCTTTCATCAAAAAACAACAAAAGTAAACATCATCTCAATCCATGTGAGATTTCAATGAATTCCAAATATACAAAATCAACACAGATTAAAACTAATCATGCTTTAGCACATTTCAGAAGTTTTTCCTTTAGTGGTCCTTCTGACTTAAAAATTCAAATGTTCTTGTTCATTCCATAAAAAAAAACCCAAAAATATCCTGTGGAGTAGGCTCTTTCTTTTAGCAAAGAGTTGTGCAGAATTTCTGATGTTTTCTTTCACTTTCAAAACTGATACTTATGGGCTGGGGATTTATCTCAGTGGTTCTGGCGCCTGCCTCTCAAGCGCAAGGTCCCAAGTTCAATCCCCAGTAAAAAAAAAAAAAAAAAAAACCTGATACTTGTGTCAACATAAATTTTATTCTCAAACATGTTATTTTTTATGGTGTTGAAAAGCTATTAATGAATTTATTATTAGACAAAAGGTTTTATTAATTCCTAGAAATAAATGTAATGAAATTTAAATTAAAATGGGGCACAACATCTCACTTTAGCAAGATATTACAAAATTTCTCATGTGATTCGGAAGTACAGACCACTCTAAACAAATTTTCTTGCAAGGCATCTGGAATCTTTCCACAGATTACTTTTTTTTAATATACTATCTCATTGTAAGTAAAAATAGATGTTTAATAGAATCAAAAGCACTTCTAAATCAAAGTTTATAAATCTCATGGAGAGCTACATTTCACATGACTTGTTAAAACCACTAAGACCTAAAAATTAATTTTGCAATTAATATAGCAAAGTTAGTTCTCATCCGACAAGTGAGTGGCTGGAAGTGATTTTTCACATATGCTCTTAATTCATGGGATGAGAGACATAATGAGAAAAGCTAATAGAACAATTACAACTTTCTACTTGCCTACTAATAATAGTTCTCTTTCCTTCACAAAGATAATGTCTTATCATTTATTCGGCCAAATGCGAGTCACTATCACAGAAAATGTTATAAAATCTCTAGGATTATGTAAAGGATTTACTAGGTATGCTTAAATGGTCACCTGTGGGCTGGAAGACCTGCAGCTCACTGCAAAATCCGGTGCAAGTCTGTATGGGAAGGTCAAAGGGTCTCTGTTGGAAGGCTGAAGAGTTTGCCCTGGAAGCCTGAAGGGACTGAAGACAAACATCCAAAGGCAATGGGGAAGACTGAATCTTCTCCAAAGAAGAAAGGGGATGACTTCTTTCTTTTCCTGTTTATTCTATCCAGGCTATAAGCCTATTAGCTCATGCCACCCACATCCAGGGTGGATCTTTCCTCTTCAGTTTTTGGCTTACATGTCAATCATTCACAGACACATGCAGAGGTTTACTCATCTGATATGCTGTTCTTACTCATCAAGTTAACATATCACAATTAACAATCACAATCCACTCCTTGTCAACTTGACAACCAGACACATCTCCTTAAACCACACTTAATCTTCAAATACAATAGTAAGATCATAATTATACCTAACATGATACAACTACCCTGCCTACAAATGGAAATGTACCAATTCCCTTCCCAGAACAGAAGGCAAAGTTTTTCTTTGGGTGATGCTAAATATTCTCCTACATTCCAAAATATAAACATTGTAATATAGATTTAACAATATTTAAGAATCAGTATTACATCTATCAACATTATGTTACAAAGCAAGAAAACAAAGACACTGGTTTAATATACGTGTATATATGCATAGGCATATGAATAAAATAGGAAATACTCATGACAATTAGAATCCCCATTTCTGTAACTGGTATTCTGTCATAGCTAATATTCATAACTACCTTCTTCTACTACTCATTC